ATATATATATATATATATATATATATATATATATATATATATATATATATATATATAGTGAAAAATGACTCCATTATGTCCATTTGTGACATTGGCTTGTGACATGACTTTGTGAGAATTCAGAGTAGCTGTTTTTTATTTTTATTTTATTTCGCAAATAGCTGTTGTTATCCAAAAAAGCTATTTCTACCTGATTTTTTTAACCAAAAAGTGCTCTCGACCTGCAGTGACCTGGGGTTAAATGACTTTCTCGAAGACACAGTAGTGATGAAACAGGATTGTGATCTCAGGAACTCTCCAGTTTCTGGGTCTCCATTGCTCAGGGCTTAACTTGCAACCTTTGCCACCTATAATACATTAATTTGATCACTTGGGCATGTTTAAGTTTTATTTATGAACATTTATTTATTCAGTATATAATTTAACTCAAACTTCTTTGCCTGGAGGTCACTCTTTGACATGTTTATGCTTGAATGTTGAGCAGAGGACAAGCAGAAGAAAAAGAAGCATCAAAAGGACAAGGTAGAGATGGAGGGAAACACCCTGCAGCGCTCCAAAACCTTTGTCAGCTTGCTCTTTAAAAGCGGACGCAGGAGAGAAAGGTCGTCCTCCAGAGACAGGAAGGACAAAGGGACAGGGGACGGACACAGAGGAAGATCCAAATCCCCGAAACATTTAGATAACAAACCGGGTGAGTCCACATATGGTTTAACAGACTTTGATGATGATCACTTTCTGTAGATACCAGGGAGTAGCTGAGGAAGATATTTGCATTTGAAAAACCAGAAAGCAGCATAATGAGTTTTTAAAGAGGCTAAATCAGAGAGCTGCTTTGCTGTACACTGTTCCGCAGTAATTCCCTTGGAGTGGCCTTGAGTCCATCCCCTGTGGTTTTGCTCAACTAATGATGAATTGCATAGCTGCCTTCTATACAGTGCCTACTGCAGCAAAAACAGAGTCAGAAACTTAGAAACGCATTGAAAACTCCAAGCTAATCACAGCTTGTCAGCCAGTCAGATTTGCCAATGTCTTTTTGTATTTTTGTAACATTTTAACCTTGTAACATTACAATTTATTGTACATATTTGCAATAAGTTCACTCTTAAAAATGGGGTTTTCGCAGTGATGTCCTAGAACAGTGTCCAAACCTGTGCCTGGAGGGCCACTGTCCTGCAGAGTTTAGCTTCAACCCTAACTAAACACATCTGAACCAGCTAATCAAGGGCTGAATCCAAAATTGCCCCCTATACCCTTGTTCACTACTCCCTACATTAGGTCACTAATACAGTTCACTTGAAGGAGTAAATGAAAACAAGTCAGTTAATTTGGGCACGAGTTCACCGTGAGGACTGCCGCTTTTGTATAGTTTGTGCTTGTTGTTTAATAATCATTTGAAACTGGCAACTAAACACATCTGAACCAGCTAATCAAGGGCTGAATCCAAAATTGCCCCCTATACCCTTGTTCACTATTCCCTACATTAGGTCACTAATACAGTTCACTTGAAGGAGTAAATGAAAACAAGTCAGTTAATTTGGGCACCGAGTTCACCGTGAGGACTGCCGCTTTTGTATAGTTTGTGCTTGTTGTTTAATAATCATTTGAAACTGGAAAATTGGCAGCTAAAGATAACAACAATTATTCCATTATTTAAGAAGTGAAGCAGACAGGGTCCAGGAAATTATCCACCAATTTCTATATTGAGTGTTGTTTCTAAAATAATAGAAAAAGTGGTGTTCAAGCAGATTTATGAGTATTTAAGTAAAAAATAAATGAATTTATGATTTCAGTCAGGTTTTAGAAAGTCTTATTCAACTGACACTTGCTTATTATATTTGACAGCTTTTATTAGGAAAGAGACTGATAGAGGAAACGTGGTATATTTCTGCTGGATCTGCAGAAAGCTTTTGATACTGTTAACTAGGGATGCACCGATACCACTTTTTCCAGTACTCGCCCCAATACTGATACTTTTATTTTTGGTACTTGCCGATACTGAGTACCGATACCAATATTTTCATTGCATTTGTAAATTTTTTAAATATTGGGTACAGAAACCAAAAGAGTATGTATAATGTTAGTTGGTTAACTTCATTTATCAAATAGATACAGTCAAACCAAAATTTATTCAGACACCTTCAACATTTCTCACATTATCACAGTTTATTCGCTATAGTTTAGAAATTGGTAATAAAATATGACAGATATGAGCTATAGTGTCCTGCACCCATTAGTAAAAAAATATCAAAAATGATATCTGGTCTCGGAATAATTTTTGGTTTGATTGTATATCCTTCTGCTATTTTCACACTTAATTATGCCCATTAAAATGTATTTTACAAGTTTTTGTTACTTTCACTGTTCATTTTTTTGCTCTATGGTACATCATCTTTAATTTAACAGCATTAGAGCTGCTCCATTGGAGCGACTTAGTACTGTAATCACGCGCTTTGCTGAAATAATGCAGGGAACCACTGGTTATAAATATCCTAACTGTGATATTTTCAGAAATAGAAGTCACATTTTTTCATTTGAAACGTGCAGTGATTTATTTTCCAAAGCCACTCATATAATGCAGAAACGCTCAAGCAAGCAAAACATGCTCAACGTGTGCACGTATTTGTACTGATGCAGAATGAGAGGAAAGCCTAGCGCATTTCACACAGGCTGCTAGATTCATTTTCGCCAGAAAGTCGTGTATGCTTAAGTAACTACAAGCTTTCCAGTGATGTCTGTAAGAAAGGGATATTCACTCAGCGTGATTTGCTTAACAGCTCGTGCACATCAGCTATACAGTCAATACTGAATGTTTAACATTATATTAATTGCATACATATACTTCGTAGACATCTTTAATCTCTAATAACTAAATTCTGCTGTCTATTATTGGTGTTTCTTTGTCTGAATATGGCACTTATCACATGCTGTGTGGTATCGGCGTTTGGTATCGGGGCATTTTAACGAGTACGAGTATGAGTACAGGAGCTCAGTATCGGTGCATCCCTACTGTTAACCATTCAATATTATTAGACAAAGTAAGTGCTCTGGGTTTTTCATGTACAGTAAAATCTTGGTTGGCTTCTTATCTAACAGGGAGAGTGCTGAAGGTAGACGTGGGAGGGATATGTTCTGAGGGTAAAATTGTGAATAATGCGGTTCCGCAGGGCAACGTACTTGGTCCACTATTGTTTTTATTATATATAATTGATAATCAGGCTGCATGTGAGGGAAATATGTTTTTATATGCTGATGCTGCTGCTCTTTTAGTCACAGATATGGAGACTGAACGAATTCAGGAGAAATTATATGAGGAGCTTGTTAAGGTGAAGGAATGACTGACTGAAAATAAGCTTTTATTACATCTAGGTCAATCAGAATCCATTCTCTTTGGGTCAAATTATAATTTGCTTAAGGCAAAGAACTTTAAAAAGTTAATGCTAGAATCAAATACATTGCAAGATATACTAGTTTTTAGTGAGTCAATCAGAATCCATTCTCTTTGGGTCAAATTATAATTTGCTTAAGGCAAAGAACTTTAAAAAGTGAATGCTAGAATCAAATACATTGCAAGATATACTAGTTTTTAGTGAACATATCTTCAAAATATCTTCTTTTATGTTCAACATAAGAAAGCAACTCATACAGGTTGCTTTCAAAAATGGTGCTTGCTATAGGACTTGTTCAATGTCATTTTGAGTATGCTTGTAACTCTTAGATTATTGATTTATCTAGTATGTGGATGGCAAAATTACAAAAGTCACAAAACAAACTGTTGAAATTTGTTTTAAGATTATAATGTTTTAGTCATGTGGAAAATAGACACTTTCAGCAGCTTGGATGGTTAACTATTGAAAAAAGATTGGCACTTCTGAATCTAAAAATGGTACATTCAGTGTATTTTAATTCTTATTTTTCCCAGGTTAAATTAAGACATGGTTATTTTACTAGACAGAGCATTATGGATCGTCATTTATGCAGGTTTAAGACTTTCTATGGACAAGGGGCATTTGCGTATTCAGGGGCACAGGAGTGGAATAATTTGTCTTTGGACAGGGTTTTAGTAAAAGAGTGAAGAAAATGTTTTTAGATAGGCTGTCTTAAATTTGACAGATTTGGATTATTGTACTGTTGTGAACATTGCCTCTGGTGTGTGTTTGAGTGTGAAAATTATATTTATGTTTTGTAATTAGTATGAAATGTATGCCAAAAATGCCTGTCGTCACTAAAATTGTTTTCTTAAATCAAGGACCACAATGGAAATATGCCTTCTGGCGAGACGCGACAATTCATTCGCCGCGTGACTCTCACAGTGCATTATGGGTATTCTCTAGCTGTTGAGCATACATCAGTTGTACACTCGTTATTGCTGTGCATTGTGGGATTGAATGAGTGCATTCGATAATGTCCAATAAGGTTTCAGACACCACTAAAAATGCCTGTACCCTCAAATGTGTGCCCTATTTAAGGGTATAGGGGCAATTTCGAACACAGTGAAGGTCTTCAGACTCACTAGAAATATTTAGGCAAGCAATTTGGAGTTGGTTGGAGCTAAAATCTGCAGGACGTTGGCCCTCCAGGAGCAGGATTGGACACCCCTGCCATAGAAGAAATATTTTTAGTTCCCCAAAGAACCTTACAATGACCTTAAAATATTTTTTTCCCTGCTGTGAGGAACATTTTAATAATCTAAAGAACCTTTTTCCATAAAAACCTTTTGTGCAATGGAAAGCTTAATTCTTCATTGAACCACAGATGCCAAAACCATAGATCTTTAAATGAGAATTGCTGTCATCAGAGCTTGTAGACTGACTCTAGCACTTGTGTCCTCAGGTAAAGAGCGGGGTCGACCCATAATTAACCTGTTGAGTTCTCCCAGAGAGACTCGTGCTGGAATGAGGGAGCACAGCCCCATCCCCAGCCCAGAGACCATGGCCATGTTGGAGGATATGGCCTGCAAGCTGCTCAACGCGGATGAGGTGGCGGCTGTCATGAGACACTGTAAAAGGGTGAGTCATCTAAATGTCTGCTGGGTTGGAAAAAGGTCTCAATTATGACTTTATACATGTACAAGTTTACAGGGTTTTCAAATGTTTATGTGGATAACTAGAAAAGGCATCTGAATTCTACAGTACACTGTAAAAAAAAATTAATCCTAAAAACGTCTTTCAATGTAGGCAATGCTACGGTTATCCTGATAAAGCCCATATTACTTCATTACTTCAAAATTGTGTAGTTCTTAATTGACAGTTTGTGAGCCCTAAATTGCAAGAGTGTTTCGTGCTTTAGACAAATTTGGTGAGATTTAGACTGTCTAATCCCTGTGCTGGTGACTAGTTCACATTATCAGGACTAAATAGCTGAACTAGGGCATCTCCTCCTGCTCTTTAGTTTCTAGTTGAGCGTGTGGTTGAGGATCTGGTGCGCCCCCTGCTGGCCATCTTGGACAAGCCTGAGAAGCTTCTGCTGCTGAGGGAGGTTAGGTAAGGAGTGTTAAAATGTCAGCCTCTGAAATGCATATATTCAAATATCTCCTGCACTACTCATGCAGTCACTTACTTTACTTTATATGGAATGTTTTAATTTAACATTCACTTTCTTTTATGTAGAATGATCATCCCTCCCACAGATCTGGGCCGTTTTGACAGTATGGTTTTGCCCTTTGAGCTTGAAGCCTATGACATACTAAAAAACCGCTCTGGTAAGAAAACATTTCACTTGAAACTTAAGCTTTTTAAATTTTCAGTCAAAAGTTTAGATACCTACTCATTTTGTATTATGAATGTTTTCCATAAATTAGAGTAATAATACAACTCAAGTAGAAGCATGGGAATTACAGTGGGTACGGAAAGTATTCAGACCCCCTTAAATTTTTCACTCTTTGTTATATTGCAGGTTCTGGTCGTCTCACACGTCTTCCATTTAAGGATTATGGAGGCCACTGTGCTCTTAGGAACCTTAAGTGCAGCAGAATTTTTTTTGTAACCTTGGCCAGATCTGTGCCTTGCCACAATTCTGTCTCTGAGCTCTTCAGGCAGTTCCTTTGACTTCATGATTCTCATTTGCTCTGACATGCACTGTGAGCTGTAAGGTCTTGTATAGACAGGTGTGTGGCTTTCCTAATCAAGTCCAGTCAGTATAATCAAACACAGCTGGACTCAACTTAAGGTGTAGAACCATCTCAAGGCTGATCAGAAGAAATGGACAGCCCCTGAGTTAAATATATGAGTGTCACAGCAAAGGGTCTGAATACTTAGGACCATGTGATATTTCAGTTTTTCTTTTTTAATAAATCTGCAAAAATGTCAACAATTCTGTGTTTTTCTGTCAATATGGGGTGCTGTGTGTACATTAATGAGGAAAAAAATGTACTTAAATGATTTTAGCAAATGGCTGCAATATAACAAAGAGTGAAAAATTTAAGGGGGTCTGAATACTTTCCGTACCCACTGTATATAGTGACCAAACAAACAAACAAAGCAATACTTCAGCTGAGCTTCTGTCAAACAGCATCCTGGGATGATTTTAATAGCATTTAACAAATTCATATATATGTTGAGCACTTGATGCTTTTCCTTGTTATAAATCGTCCAAAAAAATAAATAAATATAAAAGTATGTAGTTTTGTAAAGAAATTCATAAGAAAAATCTGGATTTTAATCTGAATCCATTGTCATAAATGTGAATTATTTATAGAGTGTTTTTGTGGTTCCCCAGTAAGGTCTCCTGTCCTGCGTTCTCCTCGTCATGGTGGAACACCCCGTCGCCATCTAATAACGCCCATCCCAGGTAACCTCCTTCTGGTGTGAACTGGAATCCTATTTCTTCATTTCTCTTGTTTTTACTCATCCATTTTTCAGTGCTGTGCAATGTCCTTCAGCTGATCCCTGTAGGAAATTATATAACCACAAAATCTCCTCTGAACCAGCCATTTCATATCCTGAAATGAATCTATACACTACAAATTTCCTGTTGCTGATATTTAATCCACACACACAATCCCTCTCATCTAAAACCCTTGTTACTGTACACTACCATCACTTTTTGATAATAATCCTGTGCAGTTCAACACAAATGCATCATTTGCAGGATGCCGAACATGCATCACTGCCAAAAGAAGATAATCTGTCTCTTATTGCCATATAGCCTGCCTGTTTCTTTCTGCTGCTGACACTGCATGACCTCCTAACCTCTAACCTTAGAGTGCACAGTGCCCGCTGTCATTGTCCACAGTGTTGGGCTGTAATGTGCCTCTGACTTTTGAATGGAAGTTGTTTCTGAAATGCAAGAAAGGCGCCTTGCATTGTTTAACCTTCAAGTGTCCACCCACGCAGGTCTGAGGCTTAATGCAGCTCCTTTGTAATGTCCACAGAGGAGTAATTCAAAACTCTCTGTGCTAGAGGCCCCTGAAATCTGAGCGAGATGTGCTTGTATGCAACGCCACACCGCTGCTTACTCAATGGATATGAATGTGTGATTGTCGATCACATTTCTGGATGAAAGGGAAAGTGTGTGTGAGGTTTCGTAACATCTGCACTGATTTAAGGAGATGTAAATTAATTCAGCTTTTAAACCATTTATAAGTATGTTTGTGGGAGGAGGAACTTGTGTGTGAATGCGATTAAATTCTTTGATTCTGAATTCTCTATAAATTAACATGTGTCTAGTGGTACTGTGGTGATATCAGATGGCAATGCCTTGTACTGTACCTTGACATCCAGCAGCCCCCCAATTTTTTTTTTATATTTTAGCCACACTTACAGTTGGTGTAAAAAGGACTTTTGAAACTGGAAATAGTTAACCCGGGGTAGATTTTAACCTCGGGTAAACAGAATCCTATATATTGCCCTGAATGGACTTTTTGGACTATAAAGGTAAGAACAGAACAGTCTCTTAACTCAAATATGAGGCATGTAATTAGATGTCTTTTGCTAATCATCGAACCATAATATTGTAACACCACAATATTTCACACTGCACAAGTTCAGCACCGTGATGCAGGGATAACAGTGCTAGCCCTGCTCCAGAGAAGGGTTTCATAAAAGGTGGTGCTAACCCCGCAACTAAATTACAAGTGTGTAAAATTCCTTTACCTGGGTTTAAAAGCAGGGTTTAGACTGATGATAACCTGGGGTTAAACTCAGTGTGAAAAGAGTGAGAGTGTGTGAGAAATGGTTTTAATATCCTCTTGTATCACAGATTACCGTGGTGGATTCCACCTTCAGCCAGTGCAAGATCTGGAGAGAGAACGGCAGCTCATTGAAGATCTGGAACTGCTGCGTTTGGCGGGTTTACCAACTGGACGACTTCCTCCTCCTCGAGCTTTCACACCTCTCTTGGATGTACCAGTGGACACTTACATCACAGACTCGCTTCGTAATCGTTCACTGAGTCCTGCTCGTCCTGGCTGGCCTCACTCAGAGTCTTCTCACGGCACGGAACGCATCGCACGCTCCCCCCAGAGAAGAGACAACGGTTTCCCCAGGACATCACACCATGACTCTTTAACCAGCAGGGGTGATTCTGTCCCAGAGCGAGGGAGATCCCCTTATAGGAATGGACATAGAATAAAAACAGACAAATCCCAGAATGGTAAAGAGGTAAAGTATACTGTAATGAGTGCACACCGCCGGAGTAGGACCCCGTTGACCCAGGTGTTTGCGCCCAGCTCAGATCAGGACTGGAAAGAACCAGTGAATGGACACTCAGACAGCCAAGAAACCCCACCAGAGCAAGAGTATGAACTATCCACGGTTTCTATCTCTAAGACCAAACAGTCCCTTGGTGAGTTACTTTCACTGAGTCCTGACTTTATGTGGAAATGTTTCTCAAATGACAGACATCCCATTTATCTTTGACTAAAATAACTTGATTATACATTTATGAAATGTTAATACAGCTTGCCTATGCAAAAGTTGCCTCCACAATGCTAGGGTGTTTTGGTTGGTTGCCAGGTTGCACTGCAGTTTCTTAAATCATGTCGCTATGTGGATTATAGGGGGTTCTGGGTTGATAGGTGGTTTCTTTTTGGCCCAAGTTACCACACTCATATCTCTATTATATTTTGATCCATAGACATGGTTTAGGTCCCTCCCTCATTGTGAGTCATGACATTTTTATCATTCACCAGGGGAAAATTATGTTTGATCACCTAGAAAAGTAATCTCTGCTCAAGTCTGTAATATAAACAGTGCCTGATGAGTTACATTCCAAAGTTTAATACTTAGGGTTAGGGGTTTGTTCAGATCTCTGTTTCTGAGTATAATAGTATGACTAAATCCTATTAATATAGTAGATTTGCAGAGCATGTGGTTCATTCTGGACCCACAATGCCCTACACTCTCAAAAATAAAAAGTTACAAAAGCTGTCACTGGGGTGGTTACCTTTTAAAAGGTATGTGTAAAAGGTATATGTACACTTTCAGTACTAATATGTACCTTTAAGTTACTAATATGCACCCTTTAGAGGTAAATAATGTATAAAAATGTACCCCTTGAAAATGTACTGCCCCAGAGTCAACTTTTTTTCTAAGAATGTAGTGTACACTGACAGAATAAGAAATAAGAACTTTGTGGAAAAAGACCATACAATCACTGATAGGTTGGTATTAAAGAAGAGATTCTTCTTCAGTTCTTCTTCTCTCCTCACCAGAAGATGGCAGTGAATTGCCCAGTGCAAGAAGTAACCCAGCAGTAATAGAGTGCAGTCCCATTCAAGAAGGTCTATAATTGACTGGGAGAAAGCTAAACATTATTATTTCTATTTGTCTTAATGACAGTTGCTCAGCTGGTGGACATCTGCTGACATCTCTAATATGTTTAGTCTGGACTATTTTTATGGCACAATCAAAAGCTCAGTTTTCCACATGCATACAAGTAAACAGCCTACAACAATATAAGAATATAAATAATGTAATGTAATTGGTTATACAGTGTTTGTTTCTTGCATATATAGAGAGAGAGATGAAGTCATCGTTAACTTGTGGATGGTTAGATGATCTTATTCTTATTCTTAGATCTTATTCTTTTTGCAGGAATAAGCATCTCAGGTGGGATTGAGTCAAAGGTGCAGCCAATGGTGAAGATAGAGAAGATCTTTCCAGGAGGAGCGGCATCTACTAGTGATGTTCTGAAGGTAACTGATCCTCTTCATATAGATTCAGCTACAGCAGGCTAAGCAGTGTTGTAGTCTAGACCAGGGGTTTTCAACCCTGTCCTGGAGGACCCTCAGCCCTGCACATTTTTTATGTCTCACTTATCATACACACCCAATTCAGGTCTTGCAGTCTGTACTAACGGGCTGATGAGTTGAATCAGGTGTTAGATGAGGGAGACATACAAAATGTGCAGCGCTGGGTGTCCTCCAGGACAGGTTTGAAAACCTCTGGTCTAGACAAGCATATTTGAGACAGAGAACAGAAGTCTGACTAGGTTGACTTAGACTCAAGGCCAAGACTAGAAGAGAATCAATTTCACGTTTCTGAGTCTATTACAAGACCAAGACACTGAAAATATGGTCATGGACTCTGACTTGGGAGCATGTGGACGTGTCTTGACTCTCAACTATAACACTGATGCAAGGTATGCACAGGGCACCATATGTCCAGTGACCAACCATAGTTTTGCTTTTTGAATCTGAACTCAAACAAGGCAAAGTGGAATATGTTCTTAAGAGGAGCGCCTACTTGCAACTAAGTGTCACACACAAACTCTTTTAACAGATTTTATACCATTTCTGCAAATAATGTATAAGGATACTGCTGGTTGGATTCATCCTGGCATTATTAGTTGATGAATAGTGTGTTTGACTCCCAATCATTATTAGGAAGGTCTGGTATATGATCAACAGCTGCAGGCCTTTTGATTTCTGTTTTGGTTAAAGCTAGCACTCAGTTATGTTATGTAAGTGCAGAGGCATTTTTATATGCTTAAGTGGCGCAACTCATTCATCATTGATGAATTACTTCAGCCAGGCCAGAAAACAATATTTGAGTCTGCTGCTTCTTTTTAAGGAAGCATTTTGCACATAATCTCATGCTGTACATCTCTACTGAAAAGACCAGCTTGGTCCAGGCTGGTTTACTCTGGTTAGTTCTAGTTTGGTGATGGTCTTACTGGTAGACCAACACGTTGTTTTCTTTGTCCTGATGGACCTGTTAGATCAAGCACGAAGCTGGTTGTCATGCTACCGTGTTATGTGCCACCGTGTCTTGACAATATCCAGGTCTTTGCACCTGTACAAAGTGAGGCAGAATAAGGGCTAAAGGTCACAGCAGGCGAGGGCACGATACCAACAGCACCTCTGTGACCCCACATAAAAGGTTAAAACCCTGGAATCCCATGTGTGTATGTGTACTTTTGTGTGTGTTTTTCAAGAGAAGCCGCATCCTTGTCGATTACAGCCTATCAGATAACAGCACTTGCCACACTCAGGAGATCTGGTGTCAGGCTCAAAACCCTTCAGTTGCCAAGAACATCCACTCATCTCTGGCTTCCTCCTGGACTTGGTGTGAAGACTAGTGGGTATTTCCATTCATACCAAAGGCCGACTAATTTACATTCCACTCAATTCACTTGTTGTCTCACCCTGAAGCCATGAGAGGCTCTTCAGAGCGGCTATCTTCACTGAGCTCTGCAGATTAACAGGCCTGCAGAGGGAAAGTGTGGAGCGCCCTGTTGACAAGCTTCCTGTAGTCTAACTGATAACTCTATTATCTGAGCGGCAAGTAAGCTCCAGCAGCTTGGAGGTCAGGTTTCTGTCACACATTGTCTGCAGTCACATCCCTCTTATCAAACGTTGTTGACACACATGGCAGACGGAGGTTAGGTGTTGTGTATGTGGTGGGGCTCCATAGAGTCTACTCGTTCGGCTCATGTGTAATTAGTCCAGCACTCTCTTTTCCATTTTAATTATAGTCTGTTGTGTTGATCTTGATAGTCATTCTTCAGCTTATAAATACAGAGGGCTTCAGTTTAATAACAGATTTCACTGTATTTAGAGATTTTCTGGAGAAAATTTCAGGGGTCTTTTGTCTGTGCAAAACTTGCCACCACAAGTTGGCTTGATCACTTTCCCAGTATTTGCTAAGCCATTAGTGTGTTGTGAGTGGTTGCTAGGATGATGCTTGTGGTCGCTGAGACGTTCTGACGTTCTATCACATTACTGTGTAGTTGCTAGAGTAACGGTTGATGACAATTCCTAATTGTTTTTTTAATTGCATGCAAATAGTTATATCAAAATAAATAAATAAATACAGTTCCAAGGAACTTAAATTTGTGGATTTGGGTTTGAAGTTTCAGAAGGTGAAAAATCTGAAAATATTTGAAAATATGTTTCTATTCAGCCGTAGTAGCACTAAACACATGAATTTCTCCTCTTCCCTGAGTCATCTTCTTTCTCCTTCTTGCTCTTTCTTTCTTCACGCACACAGTGATGTACTCTGCTATCCACTGATAAATGACTCCTCTTGTCCTCTGAAACCATAGAATGCTTTGGTGATTTGTTTTTAGTCAAAAAGGCAGATGGCATACAAAAAAAGACTGATGATGTCCCTGCGGTCTCCTTAATGTAAGTGCTGTTTGAAGGGGATGTCAGCTTAAACAAATCTTAGGCCCCTAAATGACCATTAAGGGACACAAAAAAAGTCTGTTGCATTAAGGATAATGTTTTGAAATACTCTTAATAATGCTCTTAAGTAGTTCTTGTGTTCTGCTTTTGGGTTCACTCACTATGACTGGAATAGTCTTAGTGTAAAGTTGTTCTTTCTTCTGTCAATTTCAAAAGAAAACATTTTGAGAAATGTCACATTTAAGAAATGTGGGGGGTTTTTTTGTCACCAGCATTCTTCAAAATACCTTTTTTTGTGGTTCACAGAAGAAATTACACTCTTAGCTGAAAATAATAAGCCAAAATAATAAATGTTTTCCAGTTTTATTTATGTGAGAATGAAAAGAGAAATATAATGTCCTCTATAAGAGGACAACAGTGTTTGTTCTGACCTATGAAGAGCATGAAAACAGACCCTGACCACTAAGGATGGGTGTATAGAGTTCACTAAACAGGTGCATCCTGGTAAGAGATCGTGACTGAGGAAATGTGCCTACTTTGAACTAAAGAGCGTTTGTGAGCTCAGCTGTACTTTGTACTTTTTTCCTGGCAGGAAAGACATAATTCCAAAAACACGCTCCTGCATCTGTGTGAGTGTTTGACTTTTGGGTTATGCACACCTAGAGACTGGTGTACATAATTTGGTCCAGCTCACTCTGATTTGACTGTTTCCCTCTTATATTTAATTGAGCCTAATGCTGTTAGTTTTGTCAGAGATAGGATAATGAGTTTAGATGAGAGCTGGTGGATATGTCGTGTTTTTGACCTGAAAGACCCAAACATCTGTGCTTCTGGTCTGCCAAAGGTTACAATCAGAGAGAAAAACATTAATTTCTGAAGTATAATAAGCTGATGTAATCCACTGGCAGAGCTTTGACACACACACACACACACACACAGTCTGAAGCAGGCCAGATGAGATCATTCACAGGTATTAACGAAGGAGAACAAAGGAAACGAGTGGCATCCTGTGCCTGCAGCATCTGCTTTTTCCTGCCATTCAGACAGCGCATGCCTGTATGCGCTCTGCCAGAAATACTCAGGGATGTGTCAGGAAAACAGACATCTGCATTAATGATCAAGTCCTACACCTGAACTTTTCTAGAAATCTCTCTTTGTGTGTGTGTTTAGGCTGGATTCGAGCTGGTGTCGGTAGACGGAGAGTCCCTCCAAGGTGTTACACATCCACACGCGGTGGATGCCATTCGAAGGGCTTTCAGCAACAAGGCCAAAGACCCCATGGAGTTTATCATCAAAGTTCCCAAGAACCCGAGAGACTGACTGAAACAGCCTGAAACTCAATGAGTTTTGCGAAAGGCCCCAATATACTTATGGTGAAGTTCTTTTTCATTCTTCACTTGGGTAAAAAAAAGTTTGAAATACCTGAGCAGTGGTGAACTGTTTGTGAACATCATGATGCCGCCCACGCTGCTGAGAACAGAGATTAGATGAATATGTAAATATGTGCTACACACTCTTCTCTCAATAACAAAATAAACATAGAACAAAAATGACAGTGGTAAGAAGAAGTTCGCCAAAAGTGAAAATTTGCTAAAGATTTTAGCCTTAGATTTACCCTTCAGATTTACCTTCAAGCCATCCAAGATGTAGATGACTTTGTTTCTTCATTGGAACAGATTTGGTGAAACTTGCTCACCAATGCATCCTCTGCAGTGAATGGGTGCCGTCAGAATGAGAGTCCAAACAGCTGATAAAAACATCACAATAATCCACAAGTAATCCAAATGACTCCTGGCTGGATAGCCTGAGGGTTAGTAAACTGTCTAGTTAGTAAACAGCATTTTTGGGCAAACTATTCCAATAAGAAAGCATCTGATCATACTGAAGTGCATATGTTTGCACAAGGTTTGCAATTCGGTACTCCAGGCAAGTCGCTTATTTATGTAGCACTTTATACAATTGATAAAGCAAGCAGATTTACAGTATTAAACATGAAATAAACAGTGTCAGTGTCAGTTTCAATTAGAATTACAACTTCAGTTTCTACTGAAAAGCAGCTCTCTGGTGTGTTCAGGTTTTTACTCATGTCTGATCTCGACAGACTGAACAGAAGAAATGAACCACAAGATTTCACCATTGATGAAGGCAGGGCCCCAGAGCACAGTTACCTACTGTATTACGTAACCACCACGGACCAATGGTTGTTTAAAGGTGTTGACAGTCAAAGCAAACGTTTCTGGCAAGCCGCTTTGATTTCCTGAAACAAACTCCAAACTAACTTTTGGCCGGGCTTTGTTCAAAATGACATCACACCAGTTCGTACTTGATTTTAGCTTGAAGTATATCGGGGCCTTAGTGCTGCAGGGTATAAACAGAGGACAGTTGCTTGGTTTGAAAGAGAAATCATGCCATCATGACTGGTGGGTGTCGAGGCAAACCCCTGAGCAAGAATTCAAAAATGGGCTTCCAGAGAGTGCTATTGGCCATTCACAGATGCTGACCTTTTCCCTTCCTGTTGAAAGTTATTTGCTTTTGAATCTATTCCTTTTCTGTTTTGAATCTATTCTATGAACTCGTCACTTCCAATGTTAAAGGATTTGACACCCTGTATAAACACGAGATATTGTGGGTTTCTATTTTTGGTTGGTTTAAGCCTGGAGTTAGATAAGAGCGCACTGGCATGACATGCTGATAATCATAAGTCATAACACTACCCATCCATCCTACAGTCTTCACAGTCATGCCTGAGAGAGATTACACATGGCCACAGTATGGATTGAGATTAGGTCTGTTTTTCTTTTAAATTGTTGGTTTGGTTTATTGAATGTCTGGGGGATTATTACAAATGAGGATGCCTCTCTCACTTTACATCCTGTGCTCTAAGTGAATTTCTATTTTTGGCAACTTATGTTTATACTTAGCATTTTTTATATTTGTGCCTTAAAGCTGCACACATGGACTGTGCAATTAAGATCTAAACGTTGTGATGATTGTAGGATCAGTGTTATATACTACACTTTTTTTCTCTGTACGCATCTAAAGAAATCATGTAAAAAGCATCTGGTCTGCATTTTTGTAATTTGTTTTATTACAAAAGTCATTGCGTGATTATAAATAAAAAGGTTAAATATTGACGGTTTCCATTGTGTAAGCTCTTTCGACTCTAGTTCTGATCTTAAATGATAAAATCCAAATTATTAAAGATACGTTGTGTAACTTTTGTCCTTTTTGTTTGCAAACTCTTTCTTTTGGTGTAGTTTCAAGCTAAGGCCCTGTCCCAAATCGCACCCTAAATGGCATGCCGATTTGATTGTTGGGTAGAGGTGCACATCAAGGGCGCATAGCGGCCACAAAGGGGGTGCTCGTGAGCACCCTTCTGAAAGCTAAAATGACGGGCTTGTCCAAATACCCACACTTGCAGTCTTTGTGCTTGACTACTATTTGGCTCAAGTGTTCAAGTGGGAGTGAAGAACACAAGTGTGTGTAGAACTTTTCATTACCCGGGACACACTTATACTTGTTGTAAAAATGCATGTGTTTACAGAACTTAATTTTGATTTTCAATAATTTGCATTTTAAAATAAACTTCTAAATGTCTGTTCAGTAGTACATATAACACAATTTAGTAATTGTGTTCCTTCTACTTAAGTGATAAAAAGCAGTTGCAAATGTTGTACAAAATAAGCATACTCATCTTTGCACCAATGAAACATGCAACACTTTATGTTTACTACCAAATTATATGTACTATCTAATTATTATTAATATTTCTTACATTGGAAATGTTTTCATGACCTCTTGCGAGACCTCAGCAAAAATCTCATGATTTATTTCCAGAACATGATGCATGATGGGATAAAGCTTAGCCTCAAATACCACTCAGAAGCTGTATTCAAATTTTTTCGACCTGGTACAGTCTTGCGCACTTCATGTTGCGTGCACGCACTCTCAAGTGGCCAAGACCTCAAGTGTGGGTATTTGGACAAGCCTGATGAATGGGACACCCTATGGTCTTATGGACTTAATGGACACTCGCACACGGTGGCCATTGTAAGTCCACAAGACCGTAAGTGCACATGAAGTGTGCCATTTGGGACAGGGCCTAGAATACCTTCCACCAATAATAGCCATGACCTGTATTCCTTGATGTGACGTAAACATGCGTGGAGGAATGAGAGAAGCATTAAGGCACTAAAAAAGTTGGAAGATGTATTTATGATGTACTTGCTCAAAATTAAAATTTTGTTAATTTCAAACAAAAAAAGTTACTTGCGTTCTAGTGTCTTGCATAGTGCTTCAACATGCATTTTTAAACTCTTTTATTAATTAGGATATGAATGTATTAGGTTTAAAGAAAGCTCTAAAAATTTTATTTCTTGTAAAGTAAAATTGTTAAATGTTGTTAAACTGTAGGTACATTTTCAAAAACACCAGACTCAGAATGAGGCAACTTTCTTTTATTAAAAACACATTTTTACAAGAAATATACAACAGGAAAATATACATACAAGACTACAAAGACTACAGATTGACAAAGGAAACACACAAGCACATACATGAGGGCAAAAAGACTAAACGTTAATTTGCTTTGGTCTATTCACAGTGGCTACACCTTCAAGATATTTGTGTAAAAACAAATATATTGAATATGTCGATAATATTACAATAAGAGGAATATTTACACATGTATTTTTCAGGGGCGTGATTGACATGTCAGGAAGAAATGCACAGGATATTGTCCAGGGGTAAGAGAGCTCTTTTCGTACACTCATAACATATCTGTGCTATAGAGATGATCCTGGCAACACAAAGGATGATAATCTGAGCAGGGTGAGAAAAATATGGCATAATTTCTTCTGATTCTCAGGTAGTCATTGATGAATGTAAAAATGAACTGAAACGATACAAGACTAGACTAATCACAAACAGTGAATCATTCTGACCAATAATGAAATGAATAATTTGGCCTTGAATGAAAAATATAAAAATTATTATCACATAAATAAAGTGTTTGTTTTAATGTAGGATCATTGAGAGTATATTACATGGTTTTGTAAAAAAGGAAGCACTGAGTGAAAAATGTGTAAATGTATATAACTATAAGCTGATAAAGATACTATGGAAAATACATATCTTTGGTTGCGATGGCTAAAATGTGATCTTGTATTGAGAGTTCCTCATTTAATAATTTTTTGCTATTAAGTTTTTTCTTCCCCGTCAAAAAAGCTCTCAAGCATTGCCTTGTTGTCAGACAATGTTCTTGCCACTTTTCTACAACATGCTCAAAAATTATGTAATAATGCTGTAAGTTATGATCAGAGAAGGACATAGTAAATACTCCATATGAATATAAAAACACTAACCACTATATGAAATACTGTCAGAGCTCCCTATGAACATGCTATGGCAAATGACCCCTCTGGACAAAAAAAAAGTGTGTGAAAAATGCCTTTCATATTTATTAAACTCACAAAGTTACCTGTGTTACCACAAAATAGCTTGAGGTGCTATATATAAAAATATACATCATATTTATATATATATATATATATATATATATATATATATTTCATTCTTCCTCTCTTTTTTAAAGAATCTGTTCTGTAAAAACAACAAAGTTTATATAGTGTATATATCCCTTTAACAAAATGACCACAAACATTTGATTAGTATTTCTCAGATTGTATGCAAATCTAACATAATATCTATGCATTCATCAATTATGTCATTACAGAGCAGAACTAGTTGGAAAAACCAACCGGTTGACCTGTGTTATGCCATAACGTGACTCAACGCCAGACTGTCTGACCACAGAAATGCTACCGTGTCATACACACATGCTATTCACTCTGTACAGTGTGCGTGGCAATACTCACAAAGAAAAGAAAAAATATACATTTGCCTCTATAGTTGCTAGTTATATCTACTAATATATCATCTAATTATAAAAATAACACTTCTACATCAGTGATTAGTATCAAATGTAGCGTAAGCAGCGGGGCTGTGAGATGAGAGGTGACAGTTCTTGCTGCATAGTGCCGTAAAAAGCTGAGAAGATATGACACAATGTTATTGAGGACTTAACACCAGCACAACTAGAACACCAAGAATGAATGCAACAAAACTGCAGTTTCTGTGACCTAACATGAGATGCTCATTAGAGTGCCTCCAAGTCTTTTTCCATCAGTGTTAATGCTGGTACAATGGGCGAGACAAGTAGAGCGCTCTGTACTACATAGAATATGAGAAACACCATGAAACCCGTAGCCTACATGCTGTATTTCTTCCTATTGGTTCTTCGATCTCATAACCATTTCAGTATATTTGCTAAGAAAAAAATTCCAAATGAATTAAGTTAAGAGGCGAGTAAAATATTGAATGGACATTTGTAAGTGTCATATATTTTATTTCGTTATCATTGAACATAAGCCCATCATTGGTCTTCAGTTCACATCAACCCATTTAGAAATTGGGTTTGTCAATCTGCCCAATTTCCCAATCTTGTTCACAAAGGACACATTCTAGCATTCACTCTATGCTACAAATGTCTTTGGCCGTCGTCGCATCGTGCTGTTTATGTCAACAATTTATACTTCTGCACTACTGCATAGATGCTTTTGAATGGAAAAACATGTCTTTTGTGAACTTCCTGTGTGAAAAACTTCTTAAAGAATCCACATTTCAGATCAACGGGGGATTAAATGTAATATTTTTTCAGAATTAAGCTAAGTTATAGCCCTAGTTGTACTATAGGGGTTTGCCAGGAACAAAGCACCACCTTTGAGGACACCTTCCCTTCACCAGTGGCATCAATTAACTGCTGCTGTTCACAGTCATTGTACATTCATCTCACAGGTTTCCTCACAGGTGTCCGAGGCAGGAAGTGATCATAAAGATGTCTAAATACAAATGTTACATATTTTATTGGCCTCTGCGGACATCACAACAATAACTTGCCTTGAACATAAGACTTTCTGAAATAGTGTGGAGAAGCATGTCAAAAACACTGCAGTGAAGGCCAGTACTCCTCACACAACCTCAGTGGAAATTAATTTTGGGATGGCAGAGTGAGATGTGGCTTAGATTTCAGTGGCAGTGATCTCCTCAAAATGGATCTCATTGCTACGCATGTCAAACTCCTCCATGTCCCTGTTCTCCAGCTCAAGACTAAGTTCCCTCATCACACGCTCTAGGTCTCGGTTTCTGCGGTACATCTGGATGTAGTTCTGCTGCAGCTGCTTCTGGTAACGAATCACCTTGTCTTTCTCCTCCTGCCATACCCTGCGTTCATCCTCAAAGGCCTCCAGCTGGTCCTCACTCCGCCTCCTCTCATACATCAGCTCAGCCCGCATTCGGTCCACCTGCTGACGGAGACCATGAAGCACATCCACGCTCTGACGCTGCACCTTCGCTTCATCGCTTTCATATGCTAGAAACTGCTCTTCACTGATGTTGTCCCGGAAAGCAGGACTGATCCCGTGAGTGACTCCCCCACGGCTTTGGGGCAGGGGCAAGCTCATGCATTGGCCCTTAGAAGGTAGAGTTTGGAACGGGGGCACTGCCAGGGTCTCTTTAAGACGGATAGACTCTTCCTCCAAACGGCCCACCTTCTCCCGCAGGAGCTCCGCTTCGCTTTTACGACGCTGCAGCTCATTCTCGCAAACCTCAAGTTCGAGTGTACGGGTGCGGGCTGTGGCGTGGGCTTCCTGCGAGTGAGCCTGGCTAGCTTGAAGCTCGCAACGAGCCTCTCTCATCTGGGCCTTCAAAGCAACAATCTCGCTGGCTTTCTGACCAAGATCAGCCTGTACATCCTTCAGTTGCTGCTTCAGCAGAGAGATCTCACCAGACTTCTGACAGACCTGCAACACAGGAGCATTCAAGTTCATTGAATGTAATTATTACTCATTGCTAGATCTAAATTGGTACACGATCTCACCTCCCACTTTGTCTCTTCTAGACGAGGACCTAGTTGAGTCTGCTCCTTCTCAAAAGAGGCACATCTCTTCTCCAATGCCTCCCGTTCCTGCAGCAGTTGGGAGAAGTCCTCCTGCAATTTCTTCTTCTCTTGCTGCAGCTGGAACACCTGCAACTGCAGGACCTGTTGTGCCCGTTGTGCCTTCAGCTGCACCTGCTTCATTTTCGATGCACAGCTCTGCCGAAGGTCCTCTAACTCTTGCTCACACCGCTTCTGTTTCTCCTCATACACCTGCATGGAAAAGACATATGATTTTACTTACGTTGTATCCACCGTATCTAACAATTCCCTGTCAAATGGCACTAATAACTGGTAGAAAACTGCGATTGTCACCTGACAGATGGCTGCCTCATTCTCATCCAGGTTGTCCCGGAGTTGCTGCAGCTCCAGGTCTCTTTCCCTCAGCTTCTCCTCAAGTTCCCGAATGACGCCCTCATACCCTTCTCCTGGAGCTGGGGAGCGGCCACACGATCCACTGTCTGAGAGGGGCTGCCCACGGCCAGTTAAAGACCCTGTGCTCTTACTGGATGATGACCGACCACTGTCAGAGTTAGAGTGTCCATGGCCACCACTGGAGCGTGTGGTTTCTATGTGCCCGGTGGGAACCTCGCTCTGTGCCAGGCTGTACCCTGTGCTGCTGTAGGTTGGTAGACTGGAGAGTGAGTTGCGGCCTGAGTCCGACATAGTGCAGGATTGGCTATTCCGTGCGTGGCGCCCCCCACTGTAAGAGTTACGCTTCTCCTGACAACCCAACAATGCTCCAGTGCCAGGAAGTAAGAGGTTGAGGCTGCCCTGGCTTTCAGTCAGACTGCCCCCTGACCGTGGAGACAGGTACTGCACAGAGTTCCGATTCTTGGGCACAACCGGCTTAAAGGCAGTGGGACGGATCAGTATCTTCTCCATACTCTGTGATCAAAAGTAAATGATTAATGTGACTACTACGTAAAACCACATTTAACACTTTAACTAAAATGCTAACTACACTGCTGTTGAAAACTTTGGGGTTGGTAAGATTTTTTTATCTTTTTGAAAGATATCTCTTATGCTTACCAAGGCTGCATTTATTTGATCAAAAATACAATAAAACAGCAATATTGTGAAATCAGCAATTTTGGATTTTAACATTTTAAAATATAATTTATTCCAGTGATGGAAAAGCTGAATTTTCAGTAGCCATTACTCCAGTCTTTAGTGTCACATGATCCTTCAGAAATCATTCCAATAGGTCAATCTGATTCTCAAGAAACATTTCATATTTTTATCAATGTCATTATCAGTAACTCTGTAGAAACCATGATTTTGATTTAAGCGTTCTTGTTTAATATAAAGTTAAAAGAATTTAAAATAAATATTTTTTAGAAATAATTATTTCTTTCAATAAAAAAATTTGCTGACCCCAAACTTTTGAAAGGTAATGTATCTACACAATACATGGCTAAACATGAAGACAACAACAGGAACCTTTATTTTTGTTGAGAGTGTAACTGACGTGTCATTGATTAAATGTGTACAGAAAGTGATGGCATATTGACATACTGCAGTGATTAAAGGCTCTCTTTGATCAACAGAAATGAATAGCCAATTAGATGTACTACCCACTGTGTGTAATGAGCATCAGCAAAACTACCATTCTTTACAGAAAAACAAACAAATGAGACCATATGACAATATAACAATGGGCAGAATTTTAAATTAGCTACTAATCTGGTTAAAAATAACAAATGTGTAGCTTGTACGACTTTTAAAGCCGTAAAGTTATTTTCTTTTATGTTTACTTCCTAAGCACCCCCGAACTCACCTTTTCCAGCTTCCCTGACACTGGGATGAGTTTGGGAGGAGGGCCACCAATGTTACCATTCATGCCTCTGTTATCAGGAGGCTCTTCGGTATCACTGGACGGGCTGCACGGGGTCACATGATTATCATTCCAGTCGCCCACTGGCTCATCACTCAAATAGCCATAGTTACCATTGCCAGCAGAGATGAGGGCAGAGGACTTGTTCTTAGCAGGTAGAGGAGGCTGTCTGGTGAGAAGCTGCTCCTGTGAGCTGGCACTGCGCAGCGTGCCCTCTTGCTGTCGGAAACAGCTCGTAGCTGGTGTGGGTTTGCGATACTTGGCGCCAAAGTCGCTGGCAGCTCGGCAGTGACGCTCCTGGTAGGTACGTCCAGAGATAAGGCTGCTGACGGAGCCCATGGTGCCTGCCGCAGCTACAGTGTGGGAGTGAGACACTGAGCAGCACTGCTGGATGTCAGCGCTAGGCTTCGGGTGATCAGTGGGCACAGGCAGTGCCTGAACTAGAGCCATGGAGAACACACGCCCAGGACACACACTCTGTGGAGAGAAAAACAGGAAGACAAGGAATAAAGATTACAGTCTAAATGGGCTGATTGTCATGAAACCTGTAAAATGGATCATATAATTTTAGGTCATATAATTGCACAGTTTTTGATTTCAAAAACAAAAGAATCTCAGAATCAGAAAGAGCTTTACTGCCAGGTATGTTTACACAAACAAGGAATTTGTTTTGGTGACAGAAGCATCCACAGCATTACAGTGACAAGACACAAATAATAAAAATAGAATGAGTAAATGGAATAAAAAATGTGATTAAAAAATACACAATATACAAATAGACAATAGATGTGTACAGGTATGTTATGTACAAATGCAAGGAAATGTGAATAAGTATGGTGTTTTAATAAATAAATGTATAAATAATGTTGTGTATTACACGCTCATTGCCAAGTTAACTGTTCATGAGATGGATTGCCTGAGGTTAACTGTTCTTATGCTTGGCTGTTCTGGTGCTCAGTGCTTTGTAGCACCGACCAGATGGCAACAGCTCAAAGAGGAAGTGGCTTGGGTGTGAGGGGTTCAGAATGATTTTGCCAGCCCTTTTACTCACTCTAGATGAGTGCAGTTCTTGGAGAGTGGGGAGGGTTGTACCAGTGATTCGCCCATCAGTCCGGACTATCCGCTGCAATCTTCTAAGATATGATTTGGTACCTGAGCTGAACCAGACAGTTACTGAAGTGCAGAGGATGGATTCAATGACTGCAGAGTAGAACTGTATCAGCAGCTCCTGTGGCAGGTTGAACTTCTCCAGGTGGTGAAGGAAGTACAACCTCTGCTGGGCCTTTTTGACAATGGAGTCTATATGGAACTCCCACTTCAGATCCTGAGAGATGATGGTGCCCAGGAACTTGAATGACTCCACTGTTGCCACACTGCCATTCATGATGGTGAGTGGGGGGAGTGCAGGGGGGTTTCTCCTTAAGTCCGCTATCATCTCCACTGTTTTGAGCGTGTTCAGCTCCAGGTTGTTATAACTGAACCAGACAACAGCCAGCTTTAACCTCCTGCCTGTAAGCAGACTTGTCACTGTTCTGGATGAGGCCAATAAGTGTGGTGTCATCTGCAAACTTCAGGAGCCTGACAGAGGGATCCTTTGCATGCAGTCATTGGTGTACAGGGAGAAGAGCAGTGGGGAGAGCACACATCCCTGAGGGTGCCAGTGCTGATCGTATGGGTGCTGGATGAGAATTTTCCCAGCCTCACTAGCTCCTGCCTGTCTGTCAGGAAGCTGGTGATCCACTGACAGAAGGAGGTGGGCACAGAGAGCTGGGTTAATTCGGACAGGAAGAGGTTTGGAATGATAGTGTTGAAGGGCCAGCTGAATTCCACGAATAGGATCCTCACATAAGTCCATGGTCTGTCCAGATGTTGCAGGATGTAGTGCAGTCCCATGTTGACTGCATCATCACAGACCTGTTTGCTCAGTAAACAAACTGCAGGGGGTCTAGTAAGGGTCCAGTGATGTCCTTCAGGTGGGCCATCACCAGTTTTCAAATGACTTCATGACCACAGATGTTAAAGCCACAGGCCTGTAGTCATTAAGTCCTGTGATTTTGGGTTTCTTTGGGATGGAGATGATGGTGGAGCGTTTGAAGCAGGAAGGGACTTTGCATAGCTCCAGTGATCTGTTGAAAATCTGTGTAAAGATAGGGCCCAACTGGTTAGCACAGGACTTCAACGCCATCTGGGCCTGGTGCTTTTCTTGTCTTCTGTTTCCAGAAGACCTGGTGCACATCATCTTCACTGATCTAAAGTGCAGGAGGGGTGAGAGGGGTTTGTTGGAGGTGTTAATAGATCCATAGAGAGAAGGTCAAAATGGGTGTGGGGTGTGAGACCTCATTCAAATTCTCCACAGTGCTGGGGGATGGTGTCTTGTAATTGGGGATGTCTTTCAGTCCTTTCCACTGATGCAGGGTCAATGGCTGAAAACTGATTTCTCAGCTTTTTGGACCCTGTCCCCACTCATGTAGGCATCTTCTTTGGCCTGACGGAGCTGTCTGAGTTTTGCAGTGAACCACAGTTTGTCGTAGTTGTAAGTTAAATGAGTCCTGGTAGGAATGCACATATCCTCATAGAAACTAATGTATGATGTTATAGTCTCTGTGAGCTCGTCCAGATCGGTGGCTGCAGCTTCAATAACACTCCAATCAGTGCAGTCAAAGCAGGCTTGTAAATCCCGCTCTGCTTCATTAGTCCATCTTTTTACAGTCCTTGTTACAGGTTTAGCTGATTTCAGTTTCTGCCTGTAGGTTGGTATAAGATGAACCAAACAGTGATCAGAGAGCCCCAAAGCTGCCTGTGGGACAGAGTGATATGCATCCATATTACATCCATGGTCCAGTATATTACTGTCTCTGGTAGAACATGTAACATGCTGTCTTTATTTTGGCAGTTCATGGGAGAGATTTGCTTTATTAAAATTCCTGAGAATGATTATAGCAGAGTCCGGGTATTGTTGCTCTATAGGGCCTTTCGCACCGTTTTAGTTCCAGAACTAAATGTACAGTACTAACCATACTTGCGAAATAAGTTGACATGCTTACAGTATGTTTACACGGCGTTTTAAATCATGGCGGGTGAGGGCGTTTTCATACGCTTTTGGCCAATCAATGTCTACTTGCGTCACTATTAGTACCAGTTGTGCTGGTTAGACCCTGCTCCGGAGTAGGAGCTAATTTGGTTCTCGAAAAAGGCAGTCCGGTACTAAAATCGCACCCAGTTCCGGTGGTGCGAAAACGCCAAAAAGTGGGTAGTTCCACAATTAGTTCTGGTGCTATGAAAAGGTTCCCACGCTGCGAAAGGCCATTATATCTATGATTTGATCAGCCAGTTGTTGCAGCCAGTTGTTGTAGCTCATATCCTCAGACATCACCACATTGCCAAAGTGGTGCAATTTATTCATGTAACTTTACACAATATTGCCACAGAATGAGATCATGGTCTTATTACAGGTTATTGAGGTTAAGTGCCTTGAGTTATTGCAGCAATCTGTGGTTAAAGACCACATGAGATCAAAATTCAACTTTTGAAGCATTTGGTCCATTCTGCTTTGACACTGTACACTGTACAATAAAAACACACTTCAATCAATATGTAATCTCATATACTGTATGTATATAGAGCAATGTTTCATAATAAATGCATTTCTACAATTTTTTTCTTTCAAATGCCTGAACATTATGATTTGATTTCACAGAAAAAAGGAACTTTTCGATTTTTAGTAGTAAGATTTTTTAATAGTTGTTGTTAAAGTTGACAAAATTAACTTAGCATATAGATACAATTTAAACTTATAGTCTGTCTCTTTACTGAATGTCCCTCACCCTAATACCACCTGTTAGCAACTATCAATAAAAAAAAAAATGCTTACAAGGGCACAGTGTTGATGGTGCCCTTTGCAGTGATTGAACAGCAACCTTTACGTTTTGGGACTAGTGGGCACTAACATACTTGTCCACATCACCAAATACACTTAATGTTCAACTATTACATGTCGTAACTGTAAAGGCCTTAGTTAGCACAGCATAAAATGAATGAGCAATGTAACAGCTCAATTAAAAACAGATAAGCAAGCATTAGCAGCAGTTAGTTATGTGTTTCCGAATCAGTGTTAGAGTTTAATTCTCGGATGGGCATTGAGGGATATATATTTAGCCTGCTGCAATGTGCTAAGAGCAGTTTCACCATGTGGAATAATCTGCAAAGAGCCTGCCAGTCCAATCAATTACACACACCCTCAGTGCACTTCAGAACACACTCCCAGAGAACTTCAAAGAGCCACATGCAGGAGGAACACAGTCTTGAGTCGCCAGGAGAGATCAGACCGCCCCGACTGCACTGCCATCTCAATAACCTCTCTGCCACCGGGACAGACAGGCAAAGAGAAAGCCAGGGCCAGACTGACTCAAACTTCTCATAAGACATTCTTGTTCTGTTCACTCATCCACATGCAGCCCCCACATGCCATTTTAGCTGAGGTTTGAATTCTGATGAAGTCAAAGTAGCAGAATTCAGCATGGGATTGGGTGAATACCTGATGGTCTTATGACCTTAATGAATTATCATTCTCTGGTAATAACTACCAGTCAAAATTGTGGACGTATTTAACCCTTATTATTAATATTTTCTACAATTGAATTACTGGAAGTGCACATCCTTTCCTTAATTCACACCTACAAGTGTACACTCTCTCCTGCCAGCAACTTAATAAGAGATGCCTTGTTGTTCCTTCACAACGAAGCACATTTTAAAGTGCATCTTTACGGATTTTATAATGAAAGAGTTTTTGTTTTCGATTTGTTTTATTTAGTTTTAAAGTAGTAATTTAAAGCTTTCTATAGATATATTTAGCAAGTCTGTGAGGCAAGTATTCGCTATGTTTCGGTTCATCAAATTGCAGAAAGCGCATCCTGTATATATCCTTTATTTTATAAAAGCACATAATTTTGTTGATATTGTGAGTGCACACAAATAAAAGTAGACCCTTTACAGTTCAGAATGATATATTACTCTTTATGAGCAAAAATTATGGCATATTTTAAGTTGTTTCCAATGCAAGTGATCGCGCCGGCGCCTCCATGACCTGTAAAGCACGCTTTAGCTCTCTGCACAAACTATTAGATATGCGTCTAATAGCGCACATTTATATAGGTTAAACATTTAAACTGACATTGTGATATGCTTGAACAGTTTTATATCTATGGATTTTATTTCGTGATGATTTCAGAAGGCTAAATTGATCAAACATAGGCTATCAGCTCACTGTCTGCCGCTGGCCGATTGGTCGTTACTTTAAAAAACAAAAACTTACATTTAACGAACAAAAAAATGCTCCAAACGTTTTTCTAAATTAACTTAAAAAAACGAAACGAAATATAATCACTTTGACATTACATACAAAACTGAACTATTTTAATAGCTGAAACAGTAGTATAAGCTGGGGGGGGAGACGGACTCGGGTCTGATGAGCTGTCAGA